TATAATCAGAGATCTTTGTCTTTAACAATCCTTGTGGGCTCACCAATCGTTGTTATCTTACGCAATATTGTTATCTATTCCAGTACTTAGTATAAATATGTCGTTGTTTTTCTTTGTACGTGCGATAAATTGCAAGACTTATTTAGCCACAAGTTTTAAAATTGTACTAAAAATGTATAATGAGGCAATAGTTTTTTTTTCTGGAGAATTGTTAGATGTTTTCTACTGGAATTTAAGTGACGACATAATTATAAAAAGGAAATTCAAAGAAACTGAAAAATCATGTCCATTCTTTCAATAAATTATTTATATCTGTTCCATTAGGTTGTCGGGTCAATTAAACGCTATTGTTATGTAGAATGAATTGCTTTGTAAACAATTAAATAAATTATGCAACATGACCTAAATAAGGTGTAACTTACGGAAAGAAATGTTATATACCTAAAGTGATGTTCAATCATAAAGTTATCTATGTCTACATTCATTATCTACAACACCTTATTCCGTTAATTCAATTAGTAAAGTATCCTGTGGCTTCCTCGAAAACTGTAATCGACACCGATTATATGACAATCGACACGTCCGAATATGGAGGCGCATGAAGGCTTCGTGCGCATTATCACGCGTTCCGCAACATGTTCCACTAAATGTTTATCCGCGAAACATGTGTCATCGACCGTAAACATGCGCTTGCGATTTTGACCGCTTGACCTTTGTAATACTCAGAAGTTTTTGAAATGTTATTTTTTATGACATAGCTACCTATGAATTGACGCACTATTTGTTTTGCAGATGCTAAAAACTTTCTAATCCCAACATTTTATTACAGCTATCAAATGATACGATAAACTTCGTCGTAGTAGTCGTAGAATTTCCATATAAGTTTAAAATGTGTTATTTATTATTTATAAGTGGATGAATCACAAATGCTGTGCATGACAACTTCATGCTTAAGATTAGCGCATCGATTGTAAGCCGGGATTAATATTTATTGAGCGTGATGATTACGATGTAGCATGTTTATAGTCCTTCAAGTCGACCTTGTATCGTGTGTTTACTGCGTACAATAATCTTCTAACTCACAGTAAAGTTGATCAAGCGTACAACGAGAATTCTTTTCTAAGTAGAAACAAAGACAATGTCGATGTTATAGAGACTATATTAGGGAAGAAAGGGCAGGGATGTTTCAAGTGATTGCAATTTCATTGATGTTCTTGGATATAATGTGCGAGGAAATGTTAATTTTACTCAGTAGTAAAAGTAAATAAAAGTAAATAAAGTTCCAGTGAACGGCAATGGATCGCAATCTAAATGGTATTCGATCCATTGGACTCAAGGTGATAAAGGCGTGGTTGTATTTATGCCTGACTCTTCATTTAGATTGAGTGTTAATGTACACGTAAGTGTTAAATTGTATTTATAAGGCGTATACTATTTATTTGTTGCTACGCCTCGTGACGACACAATAATCATATTTGGTATACACGTTAATATGCAAGTGCAAATTATCTGCATGGATATTAATGCTAAATGAAAAGCTATTTTAACCTATCCAAAGAAAGACTGATTGTTTAACACAGTACAATTCCGCTTGTTTAAAGCAATTTTTTTTCGATTGCCTGTTGGGCAAAATCCAAAACACGATTATCATTAGCATAATGCGTGAGCTCAACAGAAGCTTATCAATTAATCAAATTGTCGTCATGTTTATTGTTCTTTGTGTCGTGTTTTATTGCATCTTTATATGCAGCAGTGTTTCTTTTGGAAAGGGTGTCTTTATTTGTACTTAGTTTGGTTGAAATTGCGCGACTGCGATGACTGCAGGCTTTTTAACCTCTGATATTTTAGTCAGGTGCTTACACACGGTGTGAACATGTATGGAAGTGCACACCTATTTGGACTTGACATCCGCGACCCAATAAAACTATCATCCCATGAAGTATATAGTCTGCGGGGACTCTTAAGGATTTCTTATACTATTATTATCCCATTCTTTATCAGTACCAGACACAATTCTTATAATATACCTTCTTTGCATAAGAATCTATTCCAATGCACACTAACAATCCTACGAAAGGAAGTGTTTAGAAAGCTATTTAGCATATTTTACGTAACACAGACGCATAGCTTCTGTTTTGCTAGAGGACTTTGAACTCTGCCTGGATTTGCTCAGTGTCAGCTGGCACGCGTGACGTTGTGCCGTGATCTAGCGTAATCTCGAACATTGTGGTAATAGTTGCGTGACGTAGCGACAGAAGATATTTCTGTATTCTATATATTTGTTTAACATTGCTTGACACCTTAGGAGAGATGTAGAGATTATAGTTTAACTAACTATAACAAACAAAGAAACCCTTTAGGATTTGCAAACCTATAGGCACTGGGTTCTAAAGTTAATTATATACTACGTTTTTTCCTGCGATTAATGTTATCTATATTTTAAGAACGTCTTTGCCGCCTACGTTACATTGTTTATTTTCATTTGCAAGTTAAATTTAACGTAACACTATTTTTACTTTGGTACCGGTTAGAAATTTCCGTCACTGTCGACTGTTCTAGAATTAATCTTGGCCATTTGGTCGTCAGATCAATGAATGTTTTTGTTTATTTAGCACCTAAATATATGAATCCGGTAGAAAATATCATAGTACAGTGCGCTTGGCATGAAACATGTTATTTTGGTAATGTATCTTTAGATGTTTCGTCATTTACGGAAAATACCATATTGCATTTCTGAACATCAATTCCTAATTTTAAAAAATCAAAACAATAATAAATGAATTTACCTAAAGCAAGTTTAAACTTTAAACTAGTGATGTTACTTTTATACTTCGAAATCCAGTTGAATGTAAACAAAATGATCAATATTCGAGGAAAAATGTGGTACGATTTAATGAGGTCAAACAGACGTATGAAGAAGACGCAACCTTCAACAAACAATATAATGATCCAACTGCTCAAACTTTTATATTGATGTATGAGAATTATATTGCTAGTATTATTGTGTTAATATGAACCATATTTGTACGTTTATTAGATTGCTAAAGCACAATAGCCTAATTTTTTAAACTCATAATTGGAAAACTCTTAGCCCAAAAAACCTTTAACCAAACTGAGGTAAAAAAAAAGGAAAAATCGCTTGCCAGTATTTGCTGTTGCCAAATAGTGGTCAGATTTGTCATGTTTTACATTTGTTATGGTTTAAAAGACTTTTATTGAAACACCTGAACTCGAAGGTTCTTTCCTGTTAAAGCCAACGGAGCTTTTGCCTTGTCATTTATGTCTACTTTTACATTAGGCTCTGAGATCAGGCAACATTCAGGGTCAAACTCAGCTCGTTAAACTGTGGCCTCTCCTTTTATTGCTGTCATATTGGCTTAAAAGCATTGTTTAATATTTGAAAAAGGAAGGTAACCCTTTGCCTTTTAGACTTTCCAATTTATTACTAGCCCATGACTAAATTTATAAGGTAGTTAATTGTCTTAAAATATCATTTGTTATGTAAATATTTTCGTATGTCTAGACGCGAAGGACGCAATTGTTTATAAATAAGAAATCGGTGTCAAAGTCCGATCAGCTGTTGATTCACAAAACTCTCATGGACTTTGCACGACGTTTGTCTACGTGTTTGCATACTTGAGCAAATGTTTGTCACACGTCATGTTACTTAGAATCTATTTTTTCCATTTGATGGTTATGGTTGTTTGTTAATTGTGATCAGTGTGTTAAATGTGGGAAGATTGTATCCTTCATATTCATATAAGATACCATTTAAGCTTTGGTATCAATAACATGAAATAGTAACATGTGCGCATCACAAATTATACCAGGATCCCATATGGTGTTGTACTTACGTATACTACATCATGTGACCTGCCAAATCGTTTGCGTCATGAGTGACAACTCGTCCATTACCATTAAAGAAACTGGAACATGTTGAAATACGAAAATAAATTAAAACTGGTTTCGTGGACGATGAACCGGTTACCGGTGCAATCAATGCGCTCTTTGTTTATTCATTCCAACGGTAGCAAGGGTTTGTGTATAGTTCCAAAGCTAACAATATGCAATTTGTGTATTTTGTCGTAGGTTACTTATACTTCATTGTGGGCCTATTCAACGTTGCCTAGAACAATGGTGAGAACATCAGGTTACAACAATGTTGTGGCTATTATTAAGTGTAGACGAAGCAGTTTAGGTAATCTTGCTGCAGTAAATTTACGAGAGAATTTAGTAAAGGATAGTCAGGCCATAATATCTTATTATAAAAAAAAAGTATTAATTAAACCTTACAAGAAATTTCAATTAATATGTGTTAGTGTTGCATTAAAGAGAATTATCGCGACCCAGTAACCTTATCTACTAACCATTGCAGTTTCTCAGTTCTGTAGATAGAATTTCAATTACCGCACCACCCACGTACAAACGAGGCGACATTGATTTTCTGAGCCGCCGACTTGGAAAACTGACTAGGGTGCGCTTCAAGGTTTATATGCCTGATAAACTAATAATACTGATTACAGCTGTGTCACTAAAGAGTATAAAATTATTTGATTATCAAAACAATAGATTGTTTTTCAATAGATATGGCGTTAGTTAGATCGATTATGTTTGAACCAAATGCATTTGAATTTAAAATTAAAAGCAAAAGATTCGTAATCTTATATCTATTTTGACTGACTGTTTTACCTTTTCGCAAGACCTTATGTGACCAATATGATTGTTTCAGCCAATGCTGAACATTTTTATCATACATTCGGCTTCCTGATATCTGCCGTCCCAATAAACGTCATCGTTACGTAAATAAATACTGAAATAAGGAAGTGATGAGATACGTTTGTAAATTTGTAAAATGTTTCATAAATGATGTGTTTGTCGTAAACAATATGACCGTGAAGTCGAAATATACTGTTGAATTTGACTACTAAAACTGTAAACATGTAGTAAAAAAAAATGATTTTAATGTTTTTATTTTTTAACTATTAATTTTCTTGTTACAGGTCTCAACGCTTGCGAGAGGAAGTCGTACTTGTTCTTGAGGAAGGAATTACCAGTGAGGTTAATAATTTCTTTAATATACACTTTCGTGCTGGCATCATGCCAGGATCGCAAGGCCTCTGTAGGTCAATGTTCAGTTCATACAAAGAAACGCATCTGTCAAAAGTGTTTACTACGTACTATGTCTATTCAATTAGTTAAATCGAGTAGGAATTTAGAATTGTGTTTATGCACATTTTTACATTACCATTTTAAATAATCGTTCACACTACATTTAAATGTAATAATATCAAAAGTTGGTATCAAATTTAAAAAACAAATTATAATTATGTAAAACATGGTATCGCCCGCGACTCCTTCCACGTGGAATTTAAAAAAAAAAATGTGCCCATGTGTTCTTCCAGACTATCCTCTACATCTATATCAAATTTAATCGAAATCCGTTCATCCGTTTAGACTACAAACTCCAATAAACATCCATCTACACTTTCGCATTTATAATATTAGTATGAGTAGGATAAATGTTGAATTGGTCGTTACTGTATATCGTAAAGAATTCTAGAAAAAGTCTAGAAACCAGTGATATTTTTGTTCTGAAATTAAAGCTAGGAAAGTTCCTACCGACTGTCTACTGATTTATCAATTGAGTTAAATGAACGCGTAGGTATTGGACGACACAAATTAAATGAGATCGCACCCGACAATTGTTTTATTGTTTTTCAACAGCACAGAATTAGTCTTTTGGTCCAACTCGTCCCCCAAATATTTATAGTAACATACTTCACGTCAGAATAACATTTTTTCTCTTTCTTCTCAATGTCGTTAATGTAGTTATTTAACAACAAAATCGTTATTTAATGAGGTGAATTACATTAACCTTAAATTAAGTACCAGAAGACATTGACAAGAAAAGTTAATCCAATTATAGTATGTGTCCACATTAATATCTTTTCAGTCTTATTATAGGAAAAATAGAAGGGTAATTGGTATGTGCCAACAATACCGAACTCGTCAAATTGTAGTATCTACTTAAAATGGAATCGAAATATGAGTGAAAGTAGATTATAAATGTCAAACTTTTTTTAATTTTTCTGTATATAAAATCAATACTATATGTAGTCGAGGACAGGTTACGATTGACGTGTATGTACTCTAAATACTTCATCGCGTTCGATTCAATTGTATCCTAAAAAAAAACAAACACAGTGTTCAAACCTGATTGCCTACTTACAGGTGAAACGAATGTTGGTTAGTCATACGCCAATTAAGAACGTTTGTGAACATGTAATTTACAAACTTACTTTTTTAGTCTCAATATACACATATGTAATATAAATCTATCTATTTTATGCACATGACATGACAAAAATGTAGATAAATTCGAGAACATATTTTTTAAGTTGTGGGTAATGTCTACTGGAAAATTGTTTCGGTATTATTTTCACTTTTATGGTAAACAGTTTGGCCGATTTTAAAGCTGTCTTCGATTTATATTACTTCCCTTTGTATCGAAAGTAGGTATAAAAAGTCATTATTCAATCGATACAATTCTTTAGGTTATTAGTGTGTACAGTGTAAACAGTAGAGTGTAAACTGAGGTGTTAGGTATCGGCTAGCCGTGACACAGATCGTTAGTATATCGTAACAATACCTAATCGCGCACGTAAACATGTCTTTGAGAGGTCGATACGATCTGTCCTCTGCGGTTTGACGACCTGATAGAACCTTGAAATTATCGCGAATTGCATTGCTTGCTAACTTCATCATTATCAACTATCAATTCACGAAACAAACAATGGACTTTGAAATTTGTTGATGATAATAATCAAGGTTAATTCCCAACCGGATTCAGTTGAGTGTTTGTTGCAATTTTTTCATGATTGGCACATGAGTAAATAAATAAAAAGTATAATAATTCAACTCTGACTATAATATTACTTCTTACCATCTTACTAATATTATAAATCCAAAAGTTTAGATGGATGAATGGATGGAGATATGTTTATTCGAGTTTGTAACCTAAACGGCTCACTATTAAAATTGTCATAGATCTATCGGATAATCTGGAATTTTGTTTAATTAGTAACACATAGCAAATAAAAGTTTCGTGTCTAAATTTTTGATTATTTACTTTACATTGAAAAGTACATAATAACTTTAATATTGCGACTGTTTGTTCATAATTACCAAACAATTACGTTATCACATCATTCGGAAAGTGATAAAAATAATGAAGTTCATAATTGCTGCAACGTTGCCGGATAGTGGTAATTACACGTACACATATCCGTATTAGTATGGATTTTTATTACTACAAATAGGTTTTAATAAGTCTGGCTTCTTCGTTTTTCTTACAAACTACAATTAAAGTTACATTGTATTAAAAGGCACTTATATAATTCCTTATACACCACATAATGAACACGCCTATTGTCTTATCTTGCAGAATTATAATTTTGCGTAAATTCATCATGTAAATTGGTGTAAAATTATCTTCCTTTGTTTTTGTATGCAGTTTTTAAACATTAATTATAGGAACCGGTTCTGTTGTTTATACGTTTATTCAAGGACACAATATCCAGGGAGTAATTTTACTTAAGCTATGATATACAAATTTAAAACCAAAGGTCGCATATGTCTTAAATGTTGATAAGAGGTTCTATTGTTTCAAATAGCTTTTACTTCTAAGATAATTTCAAGCGTGGAAGAACTTTATACTAACTAAAAACTGTATAAACATGTGTGCGTCTATAAACGTCTAACGACCAATCGAACTTTCGAAATCATGTCAAGATTGAACTCATTTTTTGCAACAACCAGTTATATTGCGAACTGTTCGTTCGCATATATCAATAGATGCATAGGCAAAGTCAAATATGATCGAGATTAATATGTGAAACATAAATTGTTGGGAACTAAAGATATTTAATAATTATATAGACTACACATAACGAACAGTATTTTTTCACCGATAACTTCTGTGTACGGTAATATCTCAAAGTCAAATTTGTCATACCGAGACGCTTCTCAGTGTCTGATTTATTTGTTTGTTTGTGGTTTTGACTATCGGACACCAGGTAGCGCTGGTAATATTATGTGAAAAAGTGTCAACTAGGCTTACTGTATATATTTTTTGAATTTCTTTGTCCGAACAGACCTCATCTTTACCATTTCTCTGGTTGTAACATTAAAGTTATGTTTATTTCCATAGGTTGGCGAACATAATGAAAGAGATAGCGTTACTCCCTGAGAACCTACTCCGGATGCCCTCAGTGGGCATGGTGAACCAGTGGTATGAGCGGTCCTTTGAGGAGATAATACAGTTTGAGAAGATGGAACCAGAACCGCCAATCTTAAGCCAGTAAGTAATCCATTAAATTTTACGAAAAAACACTACTATTTAAGAGAAACAATCTTAATGGCCGTGAGTAAAAGACTATTTTTAAATATTAAAGAAGCCCACTGTTTAAATAAATTTAGACGAATGTATCGATGAACAGCTATGTAATAATAGACGGAAGCTTTTAAGGCAAAGCGTCACAACGTTCTTTTTATAGCTCTTTGTGTGTCAACAACTCTGTACACAATGCTCAATAACTTCTCTCGACTTACGACCTTCACGATGCTTCTTCACATTTTATAGCTATAAGCTATAAACGACATAGAGTTGTTAAATTTCGTAGGTATATTAATTTGACAATAAACATCTCTTATTTTTGTCCAATCAAGTGGTTCTTTTTGGTGAAATAAAAAAAAAACAACTCCTAAGATCAGATTGCTTGCGAAAACATAAATATCTAACCGTCAACTTTATTTCTATGTTAGGGTACTTTTATTTTTAACCTTTTAACCGAGTTTTTTAACCCTAATTTTTATTTCGTTTTCTAGCACTAACCAATTTTGCTTTTCAATGTCTTTACGGTAACTTTGGTGTCTCAGATCGTCAATATTGGACAGGTTCTGCGAGAGGCTGGTGCATATCCGAAACAGGCACGCGGATGTTGTGCAGACGATGGCGCAGGGAGTCCTTGAACTGAAGGAATCACACGAAGTCGATCCTGGCACTGAGAACTCCATACAGTACTTCTTAGATCGCTTCTACATGAGTCGGATATCAATTAGGATGCTTATTAATCAGCACAGTAAGTGTATATTGCTACATGGTTATTTATGTCTGGTGTTTGTGAGTGGCTTCCATATTGAGAATGCGTAGGCTTCTATATTGAAAAGCATGACGATCTGTTTTATTGTAGCTTTTTGACAGTTGAAATGTTTGGTTAATGCAACCCGTTAAATTGTCTTAATAGAAATATTACAAGTTAATTATAGATCTAAAAGTTTAATAACCTTTTGTTGACCTTCACTTGTAACCTTGTCTGCGTCTCCATTATACGAGAAAGGTCGAACAATGAAATCTGAGCAAAAACGCTTTCGGCCATATGCCGACACGAATACCAATTTCAGTCCGATGTTCTCTATTTATAGCTTTAATATCAGATAATAAAGTACCTTTTTTTCTTATATGTAGTAAACATCTAATAAAAGTTATTGCTACAATGGAACTGGGTGATTAATAAAAACTTAATTAAACGTATCTAATAAATTAATGTTGCAGGGATGGTCTAAAAACTTGGATTATTCCCAACCGTCACCCCGCTCTGTCCCCACGAGAGAATAAAAAGTTTTACTCTCACTATCACCAATAAGGTGTCAGATGGAACCGTTATGAAATAAAATAAGATCCAACCGTCCCCCCGTCGCAAAAGGTGGGACGGATAAGACTTTTTATTCTCATCTATCTCCACGTGTGGACAGAGCGGGGTGACGATTGGGAGTAATCCAAAAACTTTTGCGATCAGATAGAACATTCCAACTATATGAACCAATACAAGTAGTTAACTTGCATACCAGATATACAAATAGTACAAAATTGGGTGTGTCTATATCTAATAATAGATACAAGATTAATGTAAGACGACCATAGATATAGTACTAATACAAGGTCTGCCCTTGTGCTAGTATCCATCTACAATCGTGGAAATTTGCTGTGTTCACTTCAGGAAGAGTTGCCTTGTTCATTGCAACAAGATAAACTTCGCCTTTTCCAACTACGATATAATAAAAGAAACTAGCCATGTATCACTATATGATTTTTCGTACAGACACAAATTTAAGATGCGTTGTATTAATTTTCGTTAGGCGTCTCTTTTCAAAACGTTCAAACGATTGTAGCTTTTGATATGGAACACCGCCAGTTTCCCCGATTGTACCTTATCCACATGATCACTACGTTTAGTAATCACTTCCTACAGTTACACTTCCTTTGTTGCGTGTCCTCAATATAAATTATTCTGCATTAGCTACTTTTGCACTCATCGCGAATGCCGCGGATATTCCATAACTAGAAACTTCCTTAAATACGACTAAGTGAGATTTTCGAATAATGAAAGAGCTGATTACGTGCAAAAAATTTAAAACAAATTGTACACAGGTTTACAAATAATCGATTAGAATCATGATTGCAAATGTTGATTATTGGATTTAAGATTCAATTATCGCCACTTAGATTGGTTTATTGCCAAATCCTAAGGATTTTTGGGGTGGAGGCTCAATTTTTTTCACTCCACACAACATTTATGTAGAGTCAGAGTCATTAACTAGTTATAACAGCCAAATAGCAATCGGTTTGACAACGACGATATTCGAATACTGGTCTCCAACAGCGCTCCTCTTCGGCGAGCAAATGGGTGGAAGACAGGCGTCAGTAAACGGTATGGGTTGCGGCGGGCGACACATCGGCTCTATAGACCCGGCGTGCGATGTAGCTGCGGTCGTACGAGACGCGTATGAAAACGCTCGATTCCTATGCGACCGGTATTACCTCGCGTCACCTGAACTTGAACTGCTGCAGAATGGAGGTAAGAATTAGAGTGTCCGCACACCTGAAACTAAACTATCTCACAACTGTTCATCATCCAACCATCCATCTAAACTTTCGCATTTATAATGTTAGTATGATTTTATAAGAGTTCTAACTAGCTTTTGTTTTCCTTTTCAGTTGCCTCAGATCGTCCGATGCCTATAATCTACGTTCCTTCACATCTATATCACATGCTGTTTGAACTATTCAAGAACGCGATGCGAGCTGTTATGGAGTGTCATGAAAATGCACCTCCCCCTATACAAGTTAATTTAGTGACGGGCAAAGAGGACATCTCAGTTAAGGTATGTGCATATTGTTGACCTTTCATACTCTTTGACAAAACAGAGACCTATAGTTAAGTCTTACTACCTAAATAATTGATCTTTGATGAAGATTATCGTGGGATTAATAACTCATTGTAAGTTTATCACACTTATTGATGACATACTCGATAATGCACAATACACATACATCGCATTCATCAATAAATAAACAATTATCCAATTACGCAATAGGGTTGTCACCTCTAACGAAATGAACAGTAATTCCTTGACTTTTGAATCGTCTTTACTTTAACTTCCCAGTCCTGAAAAATGAAATGCAGTTTTTAAATGTTTTTTTTTTAATATTATAACTAGCTGTTCCCGTGCGGCTTCATCCGCATGAAATTATGAAAATTTTATTTTATGTTTACATTTGTCAAATTATCAATTGCAAATGTGAAAATTACATACATGATGATTAACAATTGCAATCTTGCTTTATTGATGTTGACAGCTTGTAGTTTATGGTCCCTTTCCCACATTAAAGTGTTTTTCCAATTTATATATCCCCTAAGTTTAACAGCGTGAAAACATATAGCCTAGAGCTCGTATGTGTAGGGCTTTTTATTAAAGAATTATTCAAAAACATGGTGTGTTTGCTGACATCCTACGCCACAAAGTAGTGTTTATTACATTATTATAGATATGGTAACTCTATGCTACGTTACGTGTCAATGATATACTGCTATATAATTTTATTGAGTGGAAGTGGTAATGAAATATCACGCCTCTGTCATATGAAGTTATCTTGCATCGAACACGATCGCTAAATGAGACCATAAGCTCTGACATCTGTTTATTCAATGCATAATATCCTTGATATCATTTTCGTAGAATTTCACACGCTGACTTATTTTACTTTTAAAGTAGTACTTTTTACCTTTGACTAAACTATTGCACAACTGGTGTGCGATTGTCGATTGTTTCGCAGCTCATACAACTGTTTAGTTGCACAACTAAAACAAAACTAACAAGACACAACAAAGAATCAAACGGTGCCTAAAAGTTGTGCGATAGTTTGTTAAAGGTGTGCGCGCGCTTTTATATTTGTTATCCCAATCGAGGCATTTTAGGCGACCCCAAATAAGGGGTCCTTAGATCCTTTAGTCCTTTTATTATATTTAATTCATTTAAAAAAGTACTTATATGAAGATAAAATGTTCTAAAAATACACGTGTTGTGACGATTTCCTAGGAAATGGTTAGTGTTTGATTTAGTGTTGTCTTGTTTACGATTTCATTAATATTTCATATCAAATTGATCTGTCGCTTTTACAATTGACATCTACAAATTTAAAGTTTATTTGGTGAATAAATATAAATATATCATGATGTATGTCTGACGTATTATCGATATAGGATAAAATTGAGTTCATGAAAAAACTATATTTATTTATTTCATATTTTCTTTGTGGTGTGATTAGGATGGTAAATAAAACATGGAAACTTTGTATCTAAAAGTGTCAGTAAACAAGAACAATTAGGTTTATACCTAAAGTTTCATAGCCAGCCGTTGCATGAGCGTAGACAGCGGTGGGAGCTCCCCCCAAAAATAATGTTAAAAAAAAATGAAGCCTTAGACTTAGCCTAGATCTGCAATTGGCTAGATTGACAAACGACGCCCTTGTTTTCTAATACCGTTTTATTAATATTTTTGTTTGCAAGAGTAATTATACTAAAATTATAAATGCAAAGGTTTAGATGGATGTATAGATGGCTGTATGTTTATTAGAGTTTGTAGCCTAGCCTAAACGGATTTCAATGAAATTTGGTATAAATGTAGAGGATAGTCTGGATGACAACTTAGGCTACTCACTATTGTTTTTTTTCATTCCACGAGGACGGAGTCGCGGGCGAAAGCTAGTAACAGATATAATATTTCTAGATGTCAGACCGAGGAGGGGGTATCCCGCGCAGCGTGTCCGACCTCCTGTTCAAGTACATGTACAGCACGGCGCCGCAGCCATCCAAATCTGATTCGCACACAGTACCGCTGGCTGGTGAGTACATTATTTATAACACACGAAACATAACACACGAAAAACATAGTAACATAGCTCTAATAACCCCTCTAATGACCCCCCAGCAGCATTTAACCATTCGCTAGTGTTTTCTTCGATAACTTAATGATATGCATTTCCAAAATACTAACTTGAGTTTTACTACGTTGAAACTTAGGTCCAACTAACACTAAAATCACCAAGTATTGATGAAATAAATCGCAACTTCAGAAACCCAGCATAAGTCTAAAAAGTAATTCATCATTCTATTCTAACAGAATTATGTCGAGTTCCCGTTGGGCTAACCGATCGACCCAATGGACTTTTTTTTTCAAACTGGGAAACGTTGGGAAAACTCCCTTTTAGGCCGATAGGTAGGGTAGGATATTTTGTTAGACGGAGAAAGGGATAGATGTGAAGAGAGTAGATAGTTACATGTAGGATGTAGACAAATTATTATTTATTTAAGTTTATGTATATATATGTTTATAAATAATTGTTATCAGTAAAATGACCATGACAAGAAAACAAATATGAATGCTCAGTAATAAATAGTATATCTGATCACGTATACTATTTATTATCAGTGTTTTTAACATAAATAAAAAGAATATATAAATTGTTATGTAAATATTCCATTTATTACTTAAATGTACGTGATATTGTAGTTAAATATTATTACTATTGCACGCTGTAGTGGGCAAATTATATATGTAGGAAGCCAACATTGTGAAATGTATATTTTTTACGAGAAGGAATTTAAATTCCTAGCGTTAACGCTAGTAGTACTCTTTGATGTCAGTTTTATTATTCTTTTAAGGATGGTATTTAATCCATAAAAATACAAGATATTTTATTCCAGTAAAACCTGTAACTAGAAAACTTGATGGTAAGTCACCTTCATGTTAATGCAGGTTTATCGGAGGTTTTAAATAAATGTCGTTGTAAAAGCACTTTACAATAAATCCTTATGATGTTGAATAACACGGCGGTACATGTTATTAGAACTAATTATTAGCACCTCTTCTCTATATTATTAGCTTCCCTCCTTATTCTTCTCCTTTAAGGTCGACGCTAAAGGTTTTCATCCTCCACATAACTCCTGTCGTCCGTCATCTCAGTCATCACTCTCTTCCATATCATGCCAATTTATACTCAATTATTCCATCTTTTTCTAAGTCTATCATTACTCGTGTAGATACATACTCTATGTGATAACTGCACTATAATATCTCATTTTACATGATTTTCTCGTATTAAAGTGAATTCGATTCCGCGGCATTTTAATAGTACGGAATAATGAACTCGCACTTCGTACTATCTTTCGGTTACATGAAAGTCACATTAGGTTAGATTGTGTTCAAACGACAGTTTGATCGTAGATAACAATACTGATACGGTGAAGTAGTACGATTTACCGATGGCAATATGCCATATATACATATATACTCTTCCGGGTACTTATGTTATTCTCCGTTGCTAGGTTACGGGTACGGGTTGCCGATATCGAGGCTGTACGCGCGCTACTTCCACGGCGACCTGGTGCTCATGTCCTGTGAAGGATACGGAACTGACGCTGTCATATATTTAAAGGTAAGTCAGTTTTGAAGAGCGTGGCTCAAGGGATTACGGGTTCTGGGTTTGATTTTCGAATTTGATATGTACAAAATTTACGGGTATATGTATATATGTGTGAAGTCAACCCGCAGTGCAGCATGGTTGACTATGGCCTAATTATCTAACTTAGGGTAGGCTTCGAGCCTCAGTGGGGACGTATATAGTGGTGATGATGATGAATAGTCTTTATGTTGTCACGTAATTCCTTTGAGAGTTCTGGAACAGAATCTATTTTATACGTAAGATCCACTAATTTAGGAGGTTTTAATTAGCAAAACTTTTATTAGAATTTTAAATAATTTCTGCTACTGTATTATGTTTAAACGTATTATCAGAGAACATTGCCCCTTATTAAATTTTTAACTGATAAGACAAAATCTCTCACACTTCTAGTATTAGCTAAGTAAACAATTTATGTTTACTAGAATTATTCTCGAGAAATATCAAGTAAATAGTTTTTATAGGTTAGTTGTGCAGAAAGATAACAGTTGTTTTTTTTAATGGTACTATAGTAGTTGTCAGATGTCTTGGCGGCTCGGAATATAGTACGATTCGCTGCGCAGAACAAACATTTTAGATTTAGCAGATGTGAAGAGATGTGGATGTTAAACCGCTAAGATATTTGAAATTGTTTATACTAGTTATCAAAACATGATATGGTATAACGTAGCTATTTATTGATGAAATAATATTTGAAATCGGATTAGTAGTTTTTGAGTTATTTCAATACATACGATGTTACAAATCTTTCCTCTTTATAATATTAGTATAGATATCGGATGACATTGTAATGGTTATGTTGTTTATGTCGATCTAAAACTATATCATCCTTGTCATAAATAATGAAGGTTAAACTGATATTGACAATTTAAACAAATATGCGTTTTATTTACACTTGTTGGATATTGTTTAATCTCTTAGAATTAAAAGCAAATCTATCAATGTATTTACCAGAGATTTGTACTATCGTTTTTATCTATATTAAGTTTATAAACAAGCCATATATTTTTTCAAAAACGTACATGTGTTTCGCTTGTGTTTTTTAGATATCGTGAACTTTTTAAAATCAATAACCATTACAGTTAAATTTACTATTTGTCTGTATTAATTTGGATATTAAAAAAATATTAAATCTCATTCCAGGCATTATCAAATGAAGCGAACGAACTCCTGCCGGTGTTTAATAGAACGTCTAGTAAATTCTACAAGTCGATGCCGACGCTCGCTGATTGGTCGGGCTCCCTCAATACAGCCAGTAACTCGCAATGCGCACGCGCGAAGAACAGAGAGAAACTCTCGCCCTCGATATCGCACGGATTATAACCTGTACACTGGTAACACTCGAAATATACTAATTGTCTATGGTATCCGTAGGAAATGTCTATGGTACTTGTACCGGAACAACAAATGCAAGTCATCGGAAAACAGTAAATAAGTTCTATATTATCTATGGTTTATTGGAATACGACATGCAAGTCTTTGGTAAGACTCGCAGTAATCTACTATGTTGTCTATGGTAGCGTAACGTGTGAATGTTTGACGTGTGATATTGTGACTGAAAAATTCAGTGTTTTGTGATTTAATGTACAAATTTTATCAATGGTAATAGATATTATATATCTAGAATTTATTTCTCGGCTTAAAAAAGTCTAATTGTAGATTTAACTGCGAGTCTATGGTTTGTTTTTATTGTATATTTTTTACACATGTGATACTCGATTTAGCGATAATGGTATTTGAATGAATAATGACTAAGTACTAGTACAATTGAATTTGTTATTTCATTGACCGTGAATGATATGCTTGAATAGTTTACACAAATATTCTTGATCCTTAAAAATATAAAAAATGATCCGATTGTATGTTCTTTAATATTTGTGTAGATTATACAACTTGTAGACATGTTAAATTTATTCTATAATGAGAAATATAAATTGATTACATCAGTGAATGATTGACGGAGATGGTTTTAAAAGTATTTGGTATTTCGTGTCTGAAAAAAGATAAAAAATTACAATTGACATATGACCTCTAGAATTTAACTCGGATGATTGTCTTAATTTTTTTTTTATTATGATGGTGTTATAGTTTTTAATAAACCGAATATCCTTTGGGACTAAATCAATGTTGTATTTGTTGAGAAAACTAAATATACTTGTGATAAGTATACTTGTGAAAAGTTGATATCACTAGATATAGAAATAGAAATATATTTTGATGAATCCTAATATTCCAAATAAATTGATGGTAAATATCAAGAAAAAATGTCAATATAATATATATTCTTAAAATTCTACGTCTTAGACTAATTAATAAATAGAGAAAGTGTCTTGAAAATGTTACTCAAATGTTTAAGCAAAATCTTAACATAGGTTTTTTATTTTCAATTTTGGACTTTAAATATTGTTTAAATTTTGATTCTCTATCAATTTTTTTTGTAACCTGTAAATTGTGACGTTTTCTATGTATTTATTAGCCTAAGAGTGAAGCAATAATAATTCTTTTATGCTCAAAGTAAATAAAAACATTTGATACACTCCGTTAGAATTTAAGTTCTAACGACATCGTGTAGGTCAAATATAACTTATTTTCTTGAATAATCGATATATGCTTGTAATACTCTAATTGTTACAATATTTGATATTATTTTTATAGTGACTTTTGGAATAAGAATGCATAATATTAGATCAAATTAATCGTAGATTACAAATAGTATAGACGCTTATAAGAAGTAAATATTTAAATGTATAAATGGATATTTAGGGCCTGTCCCACAATTCTTGTAAATTGTCAAATAACAATCCAACGTATAAAATATGTGATGGAAATATCGGATCTTGATCTGTCAGTGAGGTCACATTTAAGCTATCTGAACCTCTATCAGCCAGTGGTGGGACAGGCCCTAAATCGTGTAATTTAAAAAAGTAAGTGTCGGCGCCACTGTCGTAAAAACAGCCGTATGATTGGCAGAAAAGCAATCGTTTGACATTTTACAACTGCTGGTATTACGATTTTTACAAACCGATATTCAGTAATATTGTTCAAATAAAATTTGTATAACATCTATACATTTAAATTTTGCTTATAAGTCGCTGGGGCCATTTTCATGACATCTGATTAATGTATGATTTTGTACACGACCATTGATAATACCTGCAAAAATGTTGCCATTTCAATATTTTTTTTAATCAAGATCAAATATTTATATAAGAAATAAGTCAGATGTCAAGACAAATGGGACTTTTTTGCACAAGGATTCCATTATATTTCCAGTTTTATACAAATTTGTTATGCGAATAGTAAGTAAAAGTATGATGCTTATAACCTCTGTGGTGCGTTCCTACCAGGGCCAAACAATATCAACTTATTACAACTAAATATAAGGCAATTAAAGTATTTTTTTCGTACTTTAACCAAAGCACCGTTATTTATATTGTAAATTATTTAAAGGTACGATCAATTTGATATTTGTAAGCATATTGAACAATCCATAACTTTGTTTATTTTCAAGAAAGGTTTATATTTTATTTTCACACTAGCCGTGAGGCTAATTACGGATGAGTTTCAATTTTAATTATTGTCAATTTGGCTGAACCTTTGTTTTGACATGTTTATTCAAATGTTAACTCTTAATGCATTTTTTTTATGTTTTATATTAAGTTATTATTATTCCAAATCGATATTTATGTAAATTAAGAATTTAGATAACCTAGTAATGTCTTAGACAAATTTAAATTTATTTAGTTTTTAAGAATAAAAATTTCATAAAGTCGGAATTCGTTTCATTGAAGACCTTTTTAAGCAAATAAATGCCGATTGGTCGAATTATCTGCAAATCTATACATATAATAAAATTGGCGTGTCTGTATGTTATATCGAAAGAAAAATCCAAGATTTCGCGAATATGTATGTTTGCGTTGCTGATAACGAAAAGGTTTTTTGTCTGCAAGCCGCGTTGATTCCAGGGAATCACCGAAACGGCCGAGTCGATTTTGACGGAACTGGCTAAAAGGTAGCACACAGGTATGTTAAAGATGTTTTTTTTTTAAAAATTCCGCGCTAACAAAGTTTGCACGCGACAGCTTGGCAGACAAAAAAATTAACTCCGCCTAAAAATGCAGACATAAAGATGGACGCCTCCGTGAAGTTGGCCCCCTCGCCCTGTTTTTTTTATGCAAATGGCTAGAATCGTTTGAGAGAGATTGAAAGGAAAGAAATATCGTTTGAGAGTTCTTACTTTTCTTTTAGAAACAGTTGAAATTTTGAAATCCAAAATCGAGTAAAACTTGATTGATTATTCTAGGATTGGATAGTCATGCATCGTCACCTCCTTCAGGTGGGATCGTGGTCAAGCGCTAGCTTAACAAATAATAAAAAAAAAACTTAATAGTTTTAGTTTAGAATAGGTATTTCTATGAAAAGATAAACCAACAAATAATATTACTTTAACATGTCGGTAATAAATTACTATTAATATTTAGTAACATTTTGAAAGTAATAATTTTACTGCATTACATTACATCAATTGCCTATTTTTCTATAAACAACGAAAGGATTGATACCTGGCAACTCTAGCTCACTGTTAGAAAGGAAAATATTTGACACCACTTGTAGCCCTCTCACTAGAGTTCAATTTTATTTTGCATACAAAAAGACTATTACGCACTAAGCATAAGGTTTAATTTTCTTTAATTCAACTGCAATATGTACAGATAGAACACACTCCTGTTGTACGTTGTACTTATTACATCCAAGATAGGTACTAATACGAAATTTGTGTTAAGTCGATGTGTCAAACTGACAAGTGCCAACCAGGAGGTGGTATAAGGTTATGTGTAAAGTTTTTGTTTGTTAAAATTCATAATAAAGTAGATTGAGGTTACAATGAAGGTCTACACAAATCACGGTAATACCGGAACATTAAAAGTGTTGATTGCTGCCCAACTAGCGGGCAAAAGAGTGGAAAAATGTCTCGCTTCTTTCGAAGGTATTTGAATTTTCTTCACTATTTTTATGAAATAAAAAGTACATAATTATTATCGAACTGTATCTGGTTAAATTAATATTATTTCGTCCGATTGAGCGGGGGACCGCTTAGTAGAAAATATCGATTTCATAACATGTTTTCTTATTTATTACTTTCATCACAATTTGTTACTATTGCACGTTGGTTAGCTAGTTTTGATGACTAATTAGTTATTTTGCAGAGGTTTGAACTTATATGATTACGTTATAGACAACAGCGTGTATTTACTGTATACGATTTTTATTGAGTAATTTTTAGAGACTAAACTACTGTCAGGCTTTGTGTTTCAATAATGTAAATAAACTAGTAATAAGTATGCATGTAACTAATAATTGGGGGCTGGTACTGAGTGCTTCTCTTGCATTGCAGACGGCATTTTCACAGGACCACAAGCTCTGCCGTTGCTGGAAGTCGATGACTTGTTGACATTCTTTTCAAGTAATGCTGCTGTTCAGTACTTATTTCCGACACTAGACTTGTCTGAAAATGGACAATGGTATGCATGTTTCATTATCTATTTAATATATTCAAAATTTGGGTATCAAAAGCATGTCTTCTTTTAAATCCTTTTTCAGCCAACAGATGCTTGAGTGGGAAGCAACACGCCTCCAGCCTGCAGTAATGGCATTACTCAGTGGAAAGGCTGTAGCTGCTGATCTCCGACAAGTACTGCAAGCTTCATTACAAATGCTTGATAAATTGCTCCAAAAGAACAAGTACATTCTTGGGGTATGTTATGTGCAGTTTAGTTGTACAATTTAAAATTTAATTTAAATACTAACAATAAGCAATAGGCATTTGACATTATGCTATGATGGATTGGGTAAAACCGAATATCAATAACTAAATGATACTGAGGTATAAACACAAGAAAGAATGGATGGATGTTTGTTAATATGAAAACTCAAAGAAATTTAACAAAAATGTAGAACATAATGACAGAAGAAGTCTCATGCACAGGTTACTTCTTACAATATAATAAAACAATACAAATATTTATATTCTATTGTTACAGGAAAAATTATCAGCGGCCGATATATCTATTTGGAGCACACTATATCCAGTGTGCTTTGATGAATCCCATAAACAAACCTATATCACTGGATGTGATAACATTGTTAGATGGAACACTAACTTAGCTTCTGCTAAAGCTATACAGGTATAAGCAATTAATACTTCAAAACTATTTGTAAACCTATTAGGTTCCCGCAGACCTCAGACTTATTAACACCCAACTAAACTATCAGCATATAAAAAGTCTGTAGTCTGCGGAGGCCCTAAGGCAATATATATATCATATTAGTTTTGTGATATGTGTTATCTTTATGCTTTGTTTGTTTTTAATATAAATTTTCTTCATATTTACTTAGGAAGCAGTTCAACAATGGGGATGGTCACCAATGAGTCCCTATGGAGTATCATCAGCACTAGGAATTCCACAGATTGCCAGCATTGTCTCACCTATTGGGTATTTTTATTTTATCATAATTCATACTAATATTATAAATGCGTAAGTTTAGATAGGTGGATGGATGTTTGTTGGAGTTTGTAGCTTAAACGGCTGAAGGGATTCCGATAAAATTTAATATAGATGTAGGGGATAGTCTGGAAGAACATATAGGGTACTCACTTTTGTTTTTTTAATTTCACGCGGACGGAGTCGCGGGCGAAAGCTAGTTTATACACTAATCATTTTATTAAAATGTTAAATCTTTTAATTACTTAGTAACTTTAAAAATATTGCTGGTGTAACATTTTATTTGGATTTTTTCATATTTATGTGTTATTTAATTATTTCCTTTCAATTTTTTTTTTGTTTTATACCAGATCACCAGATGAAGACCCGGCTGCTATAAGTGTTAGTCCTGAAGAAATAGAGGCGGCGAAGGACGGTTGGATTAATGGCGTAAAAAATATGCAAGCACCAATACAACATGAAAAAGTTGTGTAAGTCCATAATCAATACATAATGATTTAATGCCGAATATTGAAACGAATTTTAAATATTTTACTTTATAAGTGCTAACTCCAACAGGTGTCAAAATTTTAATGAAATTTGCCATTCAAGTGTTGCTATATTTAACATTGTTATTGTTATATATTTAAATCAGCTTTATATTTCATTTTAAGCACTTGTCTAGTAATCTACAGGAGTTTCAAGTCAAGTGCTTAAAGTGCTTAAGGCACTGACAGTCTATATAAATGTCGATTCAATATATGGTCCTTACTAGTTTACTCTTAGTCAATAATATAACTAAAGCGCTCCCTTAGTAAAGATGTCTTACTTTGGTAGTTTAAGGGCTTCACTTAGTCTTATAACTTTAGTGGAACATTTTTGTTAGTAAATGTTTTTTTTTCTCAGGTTGCCTGTGAAGGATCGTAAGAACGTTTTGATTACTTCAGCTCTGCCATACGTCAACAATGTACCACATCTTGGCAATATTATTGGTTGTGTTCTCTCCGCTGATGTATTTGCAAGGTTTGTTTAAAATGTTACTCATTTAAACAAATGTATATTTTTTATATATTTAATTGTTTAATGTTTAAGGTACTGTCGACAATGTGACTACAACACGCTGTATATATGTGGTACAGATGAATACGGCACAGCTACGGAAACTAAGGTAATATTTATTGTCCAGCCTAAGTAGAGCCCTATGTTATATGGTTGATTGACCAAACCTGTGGTCAATTTATATTGGATAATAAATGTCTTATCCACATAACACTTTTATTTGATTTGATTTATTTTAAACAGAGAAATGATCTTGACAACACTTAAAAACTAACTAAAACTGACTGGAAATATATTTAAAATTGCTTTTATAACGCTATTTTAGTAAATGTCAATTAATACCTATATTTACTTGTTATTTCAGGCTTTAGAGGAAGGTATAACACCGCGAGAGATTTGCGACAAATACTTCGACATTCACAACGCAGTATATCGCTGGTTTGATATCGGCTTTGATTACTTCGGACGAACCAGCACTAAGGAACAGACTGAGTGAGTATTTAACCAAGTAAATGTAATCTATACTTAATGTAAAAAAGCGTAAAACTTAGGCCCTGTCCCACCAAATTGAAAATTGTCTGATAACAATCCAATATGTAAAATATGTGGAAATATTGGGTTTTGTTACTTTATCTGACAGTCACGTCATTTCTAAGCCGTCTGAGCCTGAATAAGCCAGTGGTGGGACAGGCCTTTAGTTATGTAAGATTTTGTGGTATCAGCAATCACAGTGTATTTTTGAATATATTTTTTAACAAAAAGCCCTACACTTACGATCCGCTTTTAGCTACACATTGTAAAGCTAATAAACACAAGGAATTAATAATTTGGAAAAAACCCTTATGCGGGAAAGGGATAAAGACTACAAGCTGACTACATCAAAGAAACAAGGTTGCTATGGCAACGGTAATAGATATCCAATATCAAAGGCCTTCATTGTTATTTGTAAAAAATTTCACTAATGTAATCAATGAAGTAGAGTTTTTGATTGTACATTGATAGGCACTAATTTATATGTTTGTTGTACAGGATTTCGCAGAAGCTGTTTCTGAAACTAATTGACAATGGCTTTGTTAGCACGCAGTCAGTTGACCAGCTGTATTGTGAGAAATGTGAGAGATTCCTAGCTGACAGGTAAGTTATTGTGTCCTCTGTAGACATATTCATTGACCGACTTCCCAAAAGAAGGAGGTATTCAATTCGACGATATATATATATTTTTTAAATATATTGTTACCTCACTTCCTTTAGAACAATAGAGATAAGAATATTTTTGTACAGGTGTTTTGACATTGGTAATCACTACTCATACTAATATTTTAAATGTGAAAGTTTAGATATATGGATGGACGTTTGTTATTGTTTGTAGCAGAAATGGGTGATTTCAATGAAATTTAATATAGATGTATATGATGGTCTAGACTACTCACTTTTGTTTTTTTTTTAATTACATGCAGGCGGAGTCACGGGCGAAAGCTAGTACACTATAATTTGTACTTTGTTTCGTAAATATAAATATCATAAGGTTATTCTCATAATTCCGCTCATGTCTTATATGTAATTTTCTATACTCAAGTAATAGCAACTTTTTTTAAAGAGATAATTCCTCTTTATAATATTAGTATAGATATCGATATCGTTAGTATAGTTTGTCGTATACAGGTTTGTGGAGGGCGTGTGCCCGCACCCCGGCTGCCTGTACGGCGGCGCGCGCGGCGACCAGTGCGACAAGTGCGGGAAACTCATCAACGCGATAGAACTGGTGGAGCCGAGGTGCAAAGTGTGCTCGCACAGGCCCACTGTGCGCCCCAGTGAACAGCTCTTCATAGAATTGGGTCAAGTGAGTTTTACAGATAGTATAGTCGGGGTCACTGTCGGTGTTGAACATTTAGTAACGAGATTCCGATTTAAAACCAATACAACGCAGCTTGTAAATATTGTAAATGTGTAGATACGAAAAAAAAAATCGGTTAGTAATACACAGTTAATTGATTTTATCTCGATATATTATTATTATACCTTCGTTTGCATAACTCAGTGCTATCTAATTAATTATTTATAGGATGCAACGGTGTGCAGTAAACAAATAGCCGTTACCCATCGATATAGTGAGGATCTATTCTATGTGTGTTGTGTCAGTTGGAGCCGTCACTGCGCACTTGGATCGGCCGTGCGGAGTCGGGGTGGTCTGCGCCGGCGCGCGCCGTGACGCGGGCGTGGCTGCGCGACAGCCTGCGCGCGCGCGCCGTCACCAGGGACCTCAAGTGGGGCGTGCCCGTGCCTATTGACAAACACGCACATAAGGTACGGCTTATTCCCAACCGTCGCTCTGCTCATTCTCCACGAGGGGACAGACGAGAAAAAGTTTCATCCGTCCCACTTTTACGACGAGGGGACGGTTGGAACTTATTATATAACGTTTCCATCTGTCACCTTATTGGTGATAGGACGACTAAAAGGTGGGACTGGGAAAATGTTATGTGAAAGAAATCGCGAGCATGAAATAATAAATAAATTGGTTGGTTAAAATAGAATGAATCTTAAACTTAAATTAAGGTAGGAATAGGATTAAGAAAATGCTGTAGATTTAAGATTTACTTATATTCAGGTGTTCTACGTGTGGTTTGACGCACCTATCGGCTACATGAGCATCACGCAGTGCCTCACCAAGCATTACGAGAAGTGGTGGAAGCCCGACAAAGATGTTGACGTATGTATTCATATTATATTACTTCTTGCTAATGTTATAAACTAGTAATTAAATAAAAATAAAAAGCTTCTTTAGTACCATTTGGTTATTTTCACTTTAATTGTTTTAGGTGAAATTGTACCAATTCATGGCGAAGGACAACGTTCCGTTCCACGTGATAATGTTCCCGGCGACGGTGATCGGCGTCAACGAAGGATATAAACTTGTCGATCATATATTTGCCACAGGTAATATGGCCAAAAATGACAAGAATTGTACTTATTTTGTTAAGAATCTTAAAAATATTATTAATACGAAAGTTTAGATAAATGGATGTTTGTTAGAGTTTGTAGCCTTAACGGCTGAACGGATCTGGATGTAATTTGGCATATATGTAGAGCATAGTTTGGAAGAGCACTTAGGATACTTACCTTTTTTATTTTATTAAGACGGAGTCGCGGGCGAAAGCTAGTTATACATAATTTGGTATTCATAAGCATTGGTTAACTTTGATAAAAGCCAAACATCTACATGTACAACTTACTCGATTGTACTCGCTACTGCTGATAATAAAATTTTACTTGCTGACGAAAATTTGAAGTTATAGTTGTATCAAAACACTTATTCAATAATAATTTTCTTTTTTTTAAAGGATTTTTAAAAATTATTCTATAATTGGTTACAGAGTACTTAAATTATGAAGAAGGCAAATTTTCGAAATCCCGCGGAGTTGGTGTATTTGGAACAGATGCTCAGGTAATTTCATTAAAATTAAAATACTTTAGAAAATCCTCAATTTGGTACGACCATTAATTATTTTTATTGTATTGTTGTAGGAAACTGGCATACCTTCAGATGTGTGGAGATTTTACTTGACAAGTATACGACCTGAAACCTCAGACTCCAGTTTTAGTTGGGTTGAACTTGGTACCAGGTATTTATTTATAATCTTTTAAAATATGAATTAACGTAGTATGTATGGATCAACTTTGTACAGTAAAATGCTTTTTTTTATTTTATTTTAATCAGATGTTTCTTGAGTGTAAACAAATTATTATTAATTTTAATATTTCATGAATAGTCGAATTTGTTTTCTCAAGACATCTCCATTTCCAAACAATTTTTCATTTAACATTAAATATTAACTAATAAAATGTATAAATAATTGAGTACAAGCAGTCTGTGTACAGAATTTTAAGGCTTTGCGTTAATAGTGATTTAGAAAGAAATCATTTTTCATAAGTTAAGGTTCATTCTCTATATGCTGAGATTTTTTTTTATTAAAAATATTAGTAGATTTTTTTTATTCAATAATATTTCCTTTAACCATTCCAAATAAGCTCTAGGCTAGTACTATTAGTCGAATGGCGGGATTCGAACCCTCGACCCCGAGATCGGTAGTGCGTACCCAAAACTTTTAGGCTACTGGCGTATTGTATTTTCATTAATAAAAATATGTTTATTTTAGGAACAACTCTGAGTTACTAAACAATTTGGGTAACTTCTGTCATCGGTCGCTGAGTTTCTGTGCGAACTCGTTCAAGGGCGCAGTCCCCGACGTGGCCCTCACTGCGGCCGACCTGGAGCTCATCGCTCTCGTCAACAGGGAAGTTAGAAGTAAGTCAACATTACACATTACATAACTTAATACATGCTTAAAATAATTACTTGTTGAATTAGACGTTTACTAGCTTTCGTCCGCGACTTTGTCCGCGTGAAATTAATGATTTAAAAATTTTTAATGGTGAAAGAATTTTTGAAATCGGTCCAGTAGTTTTTGAGTTTTTTCAATACATACAAAAATACATTTTTTTTATAACATTAATATAGATAATACATAGGCTCGCAAGTGCCTAAAAAATAATTAATAGCCTATACTCTCTCCTCATCGTTAAATATCATCTATTTTTGGCTATAGCAGTTAAAACTCAAATGTCAATATTGATGTGACTGTAAAAATATTGAGGTAGATATTTATTTTAAACTAGTTGTCGGCCGCGATTCTGTTCATGCGAAAGTAAAAAAAAATGATAGTCTACATATTCTTCCAGAATAAATATATCTTACGTCTATATCAAATGAATAAAAATCCAATTAAATGTTCGCATTTATAATATTAGTAAGATTTGTTTTTGCTTCCGATTTTTTAATTAGTTTATTTATTTATGTTATAATGTAAGCCTTTATTCATACAATAAAATAAAAAATTCTAAGGTAATGCATAAACTCTTATTGTCCATGTGTCATTTTGACAAACGCCTACTCTATTTTGATCCTTAGGATTCCATCTTTCGCCGTTCTGGACCAAACGCTGCCCGATACTGCTTTGGTCTCATCGACCCATTTTATTGTCTGAATAAAGGCTTATATTATTATTATAATCAAAACCACCACTTTAGAAGAACACGCTTTATTGAATAACCAAAGAGTAAAAGGGACACAGACTATAAAAGTACACCAAAGAGTATGTATGATAATAAAGATATAAATGAACAATTATATAGGTTACGTGGAGAACATGGAGAAGGGGCGGCTGCGCGAGGCGCTGCGGCACGTGCTGAGCGTGTCGCGCCTCGGCAACCAGCACATGCAGGCCGAGCAGCCCTGGGTACTGCTGAAGGGATCGCAACATGATAAGTAAGATATTCTATGTTATTCCGTCCCCGTGGAATTAAAATAAAGTGACTAGCCTATTGTTCTAGACTATCCTCTACGTCTATGCCTGATTTCAACAAGATCCGTTCAGCTCTTTAGGCTACAAACTCTAACAAATATGTACGCATCTAAACTTCAGCATTTATATCAATAAGATATATTTAAAATGTAAATCTTCATAGTAAAGTGTACAGATTTTTGAACACTACATCGAAAATCCGTTTTGACTAAAATTATTGGTACAAGTAATATTACTAAATTAACAACATTTGCTATTTTGAATGAAAAAGAAACAAAAAAAGTTACAATTACAAAAAAATCGTTTGACAAAAACCTTATTTTTATTGATGAGTTTAAAGAAAACTACGTATATTTGAGATTGATTACAAAATGATTTTAGTTTTTTTAATATCTTTTTAATTTCACTTTAGTAATATGGCAACATTGCAGGGTGCGGGGCGCGACTGCTGTCGGTGTGTGTTGCCAGCTGGCGGCGCTAGTGTGCGCGCTGCTGGCGCCCTTCATGCCGCACACCGCGCGCCGCCTGCGGGAACAACTCAATCTACCCGAGGTCGCGTTAAGAATCAACCCACAGTAAGTTTTAACTGGCACTAGTGAGTCTAAACAATCTATGTCTGGATCCAACTTTACTGGCTAAGTATTAACCCTGTATTATAATAAACGACATTTATATATGTGCCAGCATCTTAAATCATAAGGCCACGTATAAATTCCAAATGCTATTAAAATTTGACATCTGTGAAATTGTAAGCATTGCTTACGAAGCAAAGTTTTGAGATTCATTTTAAATCTACCTGAAGTTATAAATCTCCATTAGTGGTTACTGTTGTACTATTTGTAATTATTTTGATAGCAAATATTATTTTTTTTAGGAATCCATCATTAGTGCAGTACTTACCACCGGGTCACGTCATCGGTAAACCTGAGCCGCTCTTCTCTAAGATAGAACCCGAGCTGTTAGAGAAACTGCGGGCGAAATACGCTGGTACCCAGAGCGATAGAGCCAAGGTATATAAAAATAAAATCTGTGGTCCGATTATTTATCAAAAAAAGTAACCAAATTGTCATTTAAAAGTCTAACCTAACTATAATGTTATGGTCTGTTTTTATATAAGGTGACAACTGAGCGAGGGGGTCACTTACTCACTTAATTTGTTTATAAGGCGAAGCGACCGTTGCCTATATAATAACAGATGGTCGCCTACCCTTAATTGACGCAGAAGACGGACATAACGATATTTCCCCTTTCTATGCAACTCCACTTTCCGTTCCCATCTTTTCTCATAATCCATCTACAAAATTAAACGCTTTTGTTTAGCAAAATGGCGATACAAAATCATCTCCATCTAAATCAGTAGCGGACCTTGAAGCAGCCGTAGAGAAACAAGTAAGTAAAAAATTGTAATAGTATGAAATACAAATATTTAGCCTTTAACTACTACATTTTTTATAATTTTTCAACAACAATTACAAGTTTTCATTGGCTTTTTAGGGTAACAAAGTAAGAGAAATCAAAGCATCTACAAAAGATAAAACAGTGTGGCAACCTGAAGTTAATAAGTTACTGGACTTAAAAAAACAACTAGAAGCTGCGAAAGTCGCGCATAAAAATACCTCAACGACATCGAGTGATAGTGTTGCCAGTCTAGAAAAAGCTATCGCTGAACAGGTACTAATATTTTTTTAATGTACATGTAAATTTTTGTTACGCCCTTTAATCCTTTATCACAAATTGTGCTATTATTTTCCTCTGAATATTTCCAAACTAATTCTTTTTTGGTAATTAATCAGTACCAACCTCAGGACCATTCCTAAAAAAAACTCTTGTTTGATTAACCGTTAAAAAGCTTCAACTTATTACATTCTATTTCATATTTTTCTGTGTTATTTACATCAAACCACAATTAAGTGAATTCTGCTCGATTTTAAATGATTTTATAATTATCTCCTTACACTACGGGAGTAAGATAAGGAGATGATGATGATGATGATTTTATTATAATTATAATCCTAGGGTGAAAAAGTAAGAAAATTGAAAGCGTCAACTAAGGACAAGAGCGTGTGGCAACCCGAAGTGAACAAACTGCTGCAGCTGAAAAAGCAATTGACAGCTGCGCAGGCGCAGGCCAACACTGCCAGTGCTGCCAGTGTTGCCAGTACTGAAAGTAAAGACGATGTTGCCAGCTTAGAAAAGGCTATCACTGAACAGGTATAATTCTTTAAATGTGACCAATTTTGTTGCATAAATGGTATGAAAAACTGGAATCTTATTTTCAAGCTTATACTGTTCTGTGTCACGTGACAGAAGTTTTATAAATTTGACAGTTGTTAAATGTACCAAATTGGTCAAAAGTAAAATTTTACAGTAGTATATTCAACGCAGTCGATTGTGCGAAAAACTTCGATCATCATCAATCGAAAAAAGAACACTGTTATGCATATTATAAAGTTAAAAAAAACATAGACTATGTTACTCACAGATAAATTACCTTTCTAACGGTAAAAGAATTTTTAAACTCGGCGTAGGAGGTTTTGAGATATTTCAATGCATACAAAAATATAATTTTTTACAATCCTTATAATGTTGGTAGAGATATGTAATAAATATTAACGCTTCATTATTGACAGGGTGATAAAGTAAGAAAACTAAAAGCATCAACAAAGGATAAAGCGGTTTGGCAACCAGAAGTTAACGTGTTGTTAGATCTGAAGAAACGTCTTGCGGCGTTACAAGTCAAATAAGTACAAATATAAGCGTAGGTTTCTACTGCAATGGTTTGTATTAATATATGTTGTCATTCCTTTATTTCTCTTTGACAAAACAGCGACTATAATATATTAATACTGCATTGTAACTGCAGATGAAACACACTGTAACATTAAACAATACATTTTGTAGTACGGACATATTATGTATATTTCTGAAATATAATTTATCAAGACTAAAAAGCATTGAATAAATTCATTAAAATTACCATTTTTTGTAAATGTATTATTTTTCTTGTTTTAGCCGTTTGGTGTAATTTCTTTTTTTTAATATTAACAGTCTGTGGAAAAAATATGTTTATTATAAATGTGCTATAAAAGCTAGTGTTTGGATAATATTTGTTACAAATCGCTCCACTATGTTACCAAAATATATAAACATGTGATGTAAATCAATTTCTAATACAAATTACACTAAAGATTTATAACAATGTATTTATTTACATTTACATGTATGTAAGTTTACACTAGCGCCTAGCGCATTGTGAATGTGTATTTTCTAATAAGATCTCTTTAAATTATTTCATTGTATATCGAGATGTGGAAATAAAAATAACCTTTTATTAAAACAAAAAAATTGTTTTTTAAAACCCAAATAATCGTTGTCAAAATCTTTGCTTGTTTAACATATATTTGGTGGTATTTTAACATGGTCAATCTCCACTCGTAACGCTTCTGTGTAATACTATCATCCCTCTAATTATTTGAACAAAGGGTTAAGTTCACGGTAAAAACAATTTTCCTTTTTTGCCTAACAAGGACTATAAATGTACATATTTTTATTTTTATTTTATTTATTTACGGATAACTTACAGCTAGCTTAAAAAAC